TTTATTTTCATTACAGTGTTTTATGGTTTTAAAAAAAAAATCAAATCAAGATCAAACTGGCTTACTGCACTACTTTTTACACCTACCAATATTCCTAATTTGCACAGAAATGTCTAAGGATACATACAGACATTCAGGGAGGTTATAGGAAGTTAGATAGAGTTAAAAATGGCCAGCTGATCTAGGGTACCTCAGGTGTGGGGAGAGAGTAGCACAGGGGCTTGGGGAGATTAGGGAGGGAAGTGGGGTTCACAGGGGGGATCAGGAGGGCAAGTGAACTCTGTGGGAAGATAATAATCAGCGACAACATGGCCACAATTTTAAATGATGATGAGCCAGCTCCAGGCTCCTTAGGAATAGAAAGACACTTTGAATATAGGCTGTTAGAGGGCAGAGGGAAAAATGGGGTGGGAAGTCTCATTTCATCTTACTATCTCCTCCACTTCTACATAAAGAAGGGTAGAATAAAGCCACTGGAGGGTATAGTAACACCACCAAGGTATAAATCATGGAACATTCCAATAAATCACAAAACTACAAATACAGCCATTTGTCTACTCTCAGATAAAACTCACAAGGAGAACTCCTCACGCAGACGCCTTCGGTATTGCTTCTTAGGTTTCATAGTGTTGAAGTAGGGCAGCTTGATGACGTCCGGCCACACAGCTGGGCAGGGGCTCCCACAGAGTCGACTAAGAGAGAAACAGAGAGCAGAAAGCTATCAGCACACAGCCCAGCCAGTGTCATCCAAGTGAAACAATTCCCATCCTAAAGCAGCTTAGCATAGACAGCCAGGGGTTGAGAAGGATTAGAGAAATGTCAGGTTAAAGAGATATTGGGGAAGGGAGGCAGGTCAAGGGAGAGGGGGAGTGCTTACCTTGATTTAAAAAAGCAGCATTTAAAATATGTTGGGTTTCCAGTGCTGATCTCTTGTTTTTGTGAGCCTTATTTTTGCTCTCACAAATAATTATTACACTCATTTTGAGGACATGCACATTAAACAGATGTGAACTTAAATTTTCAGATACAAAGAACTAGAGGCCTAATAACTCACATTTGCAGTTGCAGTAATTACTGGCTTTATTTTGCAAACTGATTAGAGAAAGAAGGAGCTGGTGTAATACTAAGACTAAGTGCATGAGTGGTTTCTGTAATACCTCTTCTTATAAGCATGCATGTGCAATGCTTTACCTGATTAATTCAAGCTGAGCCAGTTCCAGATTGGCTTGAAAAATAGGTTTCTTTGTAAACAGTTCCCCGAGGATACAACTGGAAAGAAAAAAAACAAGAGGTCATGACAGCAAACACTACGGATGATCATTTCTGCTTCTAAGCAGTTTTGTCTAGGGCAGGTTATTCACACCAGGGTTCAAAACCAGGAACTGACCAACTAACCTCTGTGTAAAAAGTTACTAATTCCAGACACTGAGGGAGCAACATTTGCCAGCAGCCCTGATAAGGTATCAAGCCTGTCACATTTCTCAGGAAAAGAGAAAAATGTTAACAGGATCACAAAAATACAACCAGGGGTAAACAAGAAATTTTGTTTTGCTTTTCCACCTTGAAGATACTTTGACTAGTCTCACTCCAGCTAGAAAAGATCAGGACAAGGAAAAAGTTCAATGTCTCCTTGAGCCTTCAAACATAAGCCTCACTTAAATGCCGCATATATGCGTGGTCTGTTGCAGGCTCTGTTCCCATATTTATTTATTTTTTAAAATATCACAGAGAGAATAATTTTGGACTTTACAGCTTTCAAAAGTGTTCAGCACCCTTGGTATGGGCCAGACATTCACAAAGATTCACAGAGCTCTGTTAGAAATCTATTTATAAGCACCAGAAGGGAAACTATTGAGTGCTGAACCTTTTGGAAAGCCTGGGCCCATGTATGGGTGCTGAGCCATTGAAATTTACATTTAGGATGCTTTGAAAATCTGGTTCTGCATCATTCAATCAGCAGCTCCACCTTTTTAAGACTCAAGGCAGCCCTCATTAGACCTGATGCACTCTCCATAACTTGTGAGCAGCACCCCATTTAAAAAACTAAATTATTCATTATAGTGTTTACCTCTACGCAGAGGGGCCAGGCAGTAGGGCAGGGAACACCATGGGCCTTTGCTTACCTCCTCACACCTACTGGCACCCTTCAAAGAATCTTGCAGCAACCTCAGGGAATTGACAGACATGCAATTCTCTGTGCTGTTCACTCATGGCCCCATAAATGACAGCCCCCCCATTACCCCCACCCAAAAGATGTCCTCTGTTGGGTCTGGTGGGGTAGGGGAAATCAAGCTCCACTCTGGAGCTGGCTGTGCACCTGCAGCCTCTCTCCCCTAGCCCTGCCTCCCATCTCCAGTGCTGTCTTCAGGATGGGGGGGAGAACAAGGAGGGAGCTCTGTCTTGGTTTGTCCAGCCTGTGCTGGAGGTGGGAGAAAGTGGTGTGAGTGGACTGGAGGACCCCACCTCGGGAGGGGCCCTCCAATCCACACCCCCAGCACAGGCTGGGCAAACCCCAGATGGAGCCCTCTCCCCACTCCCTTCTCCCCATCCCATCCTGAAGACAGCACTAGGGACAGGGCTGGGCTGCATGAGCCCAGCCCTGCTCCCGAGCAGAAACTGACAGAAGTTAATGAAGGCACTCCACTCTGAAGTGCCTTCATCTGAACCCTCATGTAATGATGATTCATTTGTCATGCAATTCGGTACTTTTAAAATGCTCTACAGCTGTGCATTTCTGTTAGGGCATGGCTGCAGAGGACTTTCAGAGGGCTGATTGTGCAACAAAATCATCACTTCCATCAGCACCCTCATGGTACTGTGGCACCCCGGCTGAGAATCACTGTACTAAATCCACAGGCATCCAATTGCTCAGGTGATTATCTGGACCAGAAGCTCCCAAATTCTCTGCTTTATGATGGTTTATGGATATTACTCTCTTTTGAAGAATATAAATATCCTTTGGTGTCTCCACCTAAATTAAGTTTCCAGCCTGCTGGCTACAGAAAACCTCCACTAGGACATCAATTCACTACTCCAAGCCTGCAAGCTGCACAGAATGAACAAAGAGCACCAGAGCCATGAACTTCCCTTATGCATCTACCAGAGTATTAACTTCAAAACTTGGTTGTACAATTTAAATATTAATGACATCTAAGCAAACAATTTAGTACAAAATACCCAGCCTCAATCACTATAAAAAAAGCAAACAAGTATAATGTATTTCAAAACCAACACATGCTTCCTTTCTCTATTTCACTCCAGAACTTAAGAACTTTTACAAAATGCTTTAGTTGTTTGGTGATAACACACCCTTATTTTGGTGCGTCAAATTCAGAGTGCAGATGGCACTTAATACATTCTGTAACTGCATAAAAGACTTGGACAAGACCTAAAATCAAAGCTGATTTGCGACTCCAGCAGCTTTAGCATCACAAACTATATAAGAACAAGAATGCAATTCCAGCTAGAATCTTAGGTTCCAGGGAGGGCTTACTGTGCAGACTGGCAGATAACGGGGGGGAAATAGAAAAACAAAATTCAAGTCATAAATTGGTCTAGTATATAGAAGCCAACAAGAGAGGCTATAAAAAGCCTACACAATCCTGTTGGAGTATTAACAGCACTAGATTTGGAATTTAACTAGATCTGGAATTTAACTGAAGTTTTCTAAACAAACATGCCCAAAACTACATGGGATGCAAGCAGGGGAAACAAAACAAGAAACTACAGTAGTAAGTATCCTACATACGGAAATGGCAGCATTCTTAACCTACCTGTCATAATAGACATAATAAGACAATTACATAACCAGAAATTAGATCCTTTGCTGGGAAGGTACAGCTATCTATTTTTTAAATAATTCCCAAGAAACTTTTAATTCTTTGGAAAGGTATTTGCAGCATGCATTTAGACAAAGCCTGGTCTTAAAAGTGTAATTGAGTGATTAGATGTGATAAACTCTGGCTGCTCGCTGACATGGAAAAAAAACGGCGCTTTACTTTAAAATTGGTGCACTCCCGTGACCAGCACAAGCCCAGAAGAGGCAATGCATTAGTTGCACCTGGCTTTCCCAAAGTCTGTATAGATTGGATGCTTTAGTGGAGCTTGTTTGGCACTTTTACCTAATAGCTGACTGAATCAGCTATTAGATAAAATGGGCCAAAAACCCCTGATGTACCCAATCTATACATACACTGCAGAGCTGGGTCAGAGTAACGTGCTGCTGATTCTGGTAAAGCATGTTTTGTTTTTTTGCTCTCTCCCCTTCCCCCCATGTCTGTCAGCCCCCTTTATTTCATCAACCCCATTTTATAAGTTGCCTCTTCGTTTTTTCATTTTCCTAAACATTGCTGAAATGAAAGCAAAACCAACTTGATATTGTTGCTACTGCACCAGTTACAAGTCAAGTATTTTCTTGACTGGGTCATCGTTAGAACTTTCAGCCCCAGCTTGCATTCTTTCTGATGCTCAAAGCTGCGAGGAAATGCAAAAGAATAAAGCAAGATGCTTACCCACAGCTCCATACATCTATGGCTGGTGTGTAACGCTCCTCACCTAGCAGCAATTCTGGAGGTCGATACCATAATGTAATGACTTTATTCGTATATGGACGGCTGGAAGGCAAGATACACACTTTTAAGTTACTTCCAGTGAATCTCAAAATGCTTTAAAGGTCTATAGGCCTATATATTTGAAAGTACTGACCGAAGTCAGACAGCCAAATAAAAACAGCCTGATTTTAAGAGCCGTTGGACTTCCACAACTCCTGTGCAAGTCAGTGGGAGCTCTTGACAGGCTGCTCATTTAATAAATCAAACTGCTTTTATTGAGATGGAAAATCTACACACCTGCATTCAAAAACTCTGTCCCTACATGTGCCAGTCACTTCACCTAGCACCACACTGCTGATGTGTAACAGCAGGCCTACTCAAAGAAGTTTTGAGGGCAGAGGATGTTGATTGGAAAAAAGTACTGTAAAATTAGAGGCAGAGAGTGAACGAAGTGAAACTTCTGTATAATCTACTGGGTTTGACTAACAAGAAGCTGTCAGTACCATTTGAAAGGGTTCCTCCACCCAAATGCTTGCAGAGTATAAATACATTTACTCTAGAACAAAACTGGTTTCTAAGTTCCCAGATTGACTACTGGGCATCAGCATGGCTCATTCCACATTAGCAATTTCCCAGTTCAAGTGCCTCACCTCTCTTCAGAGCTGTACAGTCGGGCAAGTCCAAAATCTGCAAGTTTGATCTGTCCACTGGAAAACAGAAGCACAACTACCCACATGAGTTAAATTAAGAAAGAGCAAAAACTAGTTAACATAAGATAATGGGACGGACAAATGACAAATAGTGTTTAGCTACTGACTGGATTGTTTAGACCTGCCTTTTTCTTTTTTTAAAATTGAATACTATTTAATTTTCCAGGTGAAGGAAAATGGATAGTAATTCAATTTCATCTCTACTACAAGGCTTTCCAACTGGCAGTGGCTCCACAGAATCATTTTACAGATCCCAAGGTATGTGGCTGCATTTCCTTGCAGTATTACTTTCACAGATTTTGTCAGTCCTTACTGGCATCCAGACAGAGTCCCAAAGGTGATTAGCAAATTGTCACCAACTTACAGCCTACCCCATAAAAGATTCCCTCAAACAGCAACAACAATCTCTAGCTGAGATAAATGGAAAGAACTCATTTGAAGCCTTCTACTCTAGCCCTAAAATTGAACTATCTAGCACTTTACCAGAAGAGGAAGTATGTTAGTTTGATCCGGCTCCCCAGCATCTTTATAGATCGGGCACTTCACCGGGGCTTTTTGGTGCTTTTATCTACAGTTGATTCAATCAGCTATTAGATAAAAGCACCAAAAGGCCTTGCCGAAGCTTGCAGTTTATATACAGATATTGGGCGAACCAGGTCAAACTGACACACTGCCTCTTCTGGGCATGTGCTGCACTTGGTGCGGAAGTGTACTGAGCTGAAAGTAAAGCACTGTTTTTTGGGGGTTTTTTTCCCCCATGTCTGTAAGTAGCCCCACAGATCAACGCAAAGAAAGAGAACCAACTGCATTGTTTAGAGGCTTGGACTGTAAAGGTTACAACAGGGACTGAAGTCTGAAAACACAAAACTTAAGTGGTAGTCACTATGTGAGAACTCAAATGGTGTCTGCAGTCTTGGGAACATGGGAACAAACATCAGGAAATACTAGAGAGTTAGAAAAGACATATTTAGTTCTTCCTTATACTCCCTGCAGCCCAAGGAAACAATGGAGACCATGCTGAAATAGATCAGTAACTTTTTTCCTCTGGGGCACCTAAGATTTGAACTAATAATAATGGCAACGGGAATTCCTCCCCCGAGTTCTACCACTAAGTAAGCATGTCATTTATCTCTACCACACAGTTCAGGATTTTTTACTTTTTGGTGTATCGGGTAGCTCTGAGAGGAAGGCCTAACTTTGTAATATGCCCTTAATTAACAATCCATTCCATGGCTCCTTTTTTTAATTTGTAGGCTTAAACGCATAGGTTTGCTTCAACATACCCAAACACATCCCCTAAGCACCAACATATGGGCTTGTCTACATAAGAAAATAGCTCTCTCTCTCTGGGTGGACACTCTTATTCTACACTTTGTCGATTAAGTCACTTTCAGCATAAAGTAAGAATGGGGGAATGCTAAAGCAGAATAGTTACTCCACTTTAAGTTTACCATAAACTTAAGTTTACCGTAAGCTATTTGCAATAGCTTTCCTGTGTAAATAAAGCAGGTAGGCAAACAACATTTTTGTTAAAACACTTTAAAAGCTAAAACTGCACCAAGACAGTTTAGCATTCCTAGGTTAACACAAAAAAGCAGCAGAGATAATGAGCAGTAAAATCTGCCAACAAAGGGTCTCTTGTGGGAAGTCTGCCTCCAACAGGAAATTAAATAGGAGGCTATTATGCTCATTCACCTTTGGCTGCGAACAGAACTCAAAATGCAGTGGCAACACCCAGAAGAGCAGCAGCTTAATTAGAATAATCTGTCATGCTACTAGTAGAAATACGCAGGAGACAGAATTCCAACAGCAGATTAGAACAGCTTACTCTTAACTGTGCTTTAGAAGAGGGCTCTAATTTTACAGCTCAAATTAACCAATTTGAATAGGGAAAAAATAATCTGGTTAAAAAAAAAAAATCTGGAAAAAAATCTGTACTGTACCCAAAGTCATGTTACCTGTTGTTTAATAAGATGTTGGAGCACTTAATGTCTCTATGAAGAAAATTCTTTTTGTGACAATAATCCAAACCCTCCATTAACTGTTTCATGAAAGACTTGATATGGTCCTCTGAGAAATGTACTAAGCCAGATTCTAGCAGCCCCATTAGATCATGGTCCATGTATTCAAACACAAGGTAAAAGGCACCTGAAACAAAGAGAGACACAACATACATGACTGGGAATGAAAGAGCAGATTCAAATGTTTCAACATTTTTGATTATAGTTAGTAGAATAACTTAAGAAACAGACTAAGATTTTTTAAGAAGTGACTTGTCATATTATGCAATGAGCTGAACACCCTAGAGGAACCTAAATTTCAGAAGATGGTGAAAGAAAGAAAAAGAAAGAAAAAAGAGGACCCTATTGCACGTCACACTGGGTCCCCAAAAATCAAAGCATCCAAAACTTCTGACTTACTTCTGAAAATATTGCTTAAATTAATGCAGCAGTATATTTTGTGTTTCTTTTTCTCAGGTGTATTTTTTATAGCAAGAGAAAAGAGGACAGAAGAAGCACTGATGTAAACTACCAGTCAAACAATTGAATCTGCTGAAGAGTTTATCCAAAATGAAACTTAAAAAAGATAAGTGCTTTAAACAAGCCATCAAGTTTACAAGGTGAAAGATGGTAGAAAAAACTTCCACATCTGTTAAATAAACTAGTTCTTCAGACAGTTAATATTATCGAGCAGATTAAGGGAACTGACCAGGGCCAGAAGCATTGGCGTGGGAGGAAAAAAACACAGCAAAGGCTAACTAAGTTTTAAAGACTGATCTCTCAAAAACCTCTCAGAAATGCTTTATACCCTTACAAAGGCTCTCTCAGTAACTTCCACATCAAGTGTGCTTAGTGAACAAGAACAAATACATTTTTTCTAAAAGACAGTTCTGTAATGTTAACATGAACCCTTGTGTCAAGACCACTATAAAAGGATCTGCAGCCCAAATTTAAAGCCTCTCTTTTATACCTGTAAAAACCTAATGCTTTAATAGGAATAGGGTAGCTCAAGTCTTCACAACTATGACTTAAACAACAATTATGTTAAAGGTGTACAACAAATACTCAAGAAGGAACAAACTCTGGTTCATTCCGTTTGTTTTGTAGCGCTTACGCAAATAAACAGTAGGGAAAAAACTCAAGATCTTATAAAATCTCTTAGGCCTACAGAGCTGATGCAGCTCAGGGAGAACAACCTGGAGTCTCTTCCTTAATACATCAACAGAATAGTCTAATCAGTTGATACCAGAGTCTGTAGTAGTAGAACACACTGATCCACGACCAGCTAGACAATTTTTTTTTCTGACACTCCTATGTCAGTTATGAATGGGAATAGGCATGCAAATCAAACACTAAATGAATGGTGGTCAACCTGCAGCAAGGGTGCCATTAGTGGCAGGGGCAGCCTCTGTCTGTGGTCCATGGGAGATCAGGAAGGAAAGAGACAGTTAGCATGGCAGCAGGTCAGGCAAGGAGGAAAAAGCAGAGCAGCAGATCAAGTACAGTAGGGAGATTGGAGTGGCACTTGGAGAGAGCATGGGGCTCAATTTGTGGCACACCTGCCAAAAAGGTTGCCCGACCCCCGCCCAAACAATGTGCGAGACTGGTAGGGCCTCCTAGCACAGACAGAGTATACCAGCCAAAACTCCCCTACTCGTATAACCTATATCCCCACAAGGCAGCTTTGCCAGTATAATTCAGTCAGTATAGCTATTCCAGCAAAGCTTCTGATGGATACAACAGCTCTCAGTCCCTTGAAGCTTGCAAGAAAGGAGATGCTATTAAGTAGGGATCTATCTAAATCACGCCAAAAGTATGTTGCATAGCGGCCACTTCAATCTTGCCCTTTTCACCACGTATCCCACCCCCCCGCCAACATGCAGTCACTCTGCAACTAACAATACCTTTGTCCTTTTTGAAATCTAGTGCATCTTCTTTGTCTGTAACAATTTCCTTCATATTAACAACGCTGCGATGGATCAACTGTCGGAGAATTTTGATTTCGCGGATGGCTGTGATAGGGAAGCCCTCCTTCTCATTGTCCAGCCGCACCTTCTTTAGGGCAACCAGCTCACCTGTTGGAACAAGTCAGCATCAAAGCTACAGTAGATAAAGTAAATGACACTGTCTTACAAATCTTCTCCAACCTTTTTGGTTATTGTTCATTTTCTTAATGGAAAATACTCATTCAGTTTTGATTTGTGGCATTAGCACAGATGTTCCTAGGTTCCAATTGCTTAGTTTATATTTTAAATCAATGTTCTAAACCATATATCAAAAAAGTGTTACATTGCACTATTTTATCTCCATCTTGAAGCTTTGAGCATAGGAATGCCATTTCACTAATTTAGCCTGAAAAAAACCCCACTCAACGAAAGGAAGAAGTCTAGTCTGCTGTTAGGAATTACTGTATTTACTGGACTCCAAGACAAGGTATCCCCCTCCACCCCCACGCCATTCCGTATAGGGGAAAGAAAAGAACACCCCATCTTGGATTGGAATAAACAGTCGGGGGGGCGGGGGCAGGGGAAGTAGGCAGCTGCTGCAGCTCTGACTCTGCCCCAGAGACTAGATAGGGGCGAGAGCCACAGCAGAAGCCTGCCCCACCCCCCCGACCCCATATCTTTACTATCAGGTACAGCTCGGGCTCCATTCATTCCAAGGGCAAGAAGCAGATAGAAACTCCATTCCCTGCCCCCAGCCAAATCAGCAGTGCCACAGCTCTGGCCCCAAGACACTGCTTCATGGCTGAACAGGGGTTTCACTTCCACATGCTCCCTGCCCCAGGAAGGAATGGAGCTGGAGCCATAGTTTCATAGTTAGTATAGTCGGAAGGGACCTGAGCAGATCATCAAGTCCAACCTTCTGCCATGGACAGGAAAGAATGCTGGGGTCAAACGACCCTGGCTAGGTGATTATCTAGCCTCCTTTTGAAGGCCCCCAGGGTAGGAGTGTGCACCAATCCAATCCAAGCCATACTGGACAGGGGAGGAGAGCGGGGGAAGGGAAGGGACAGACCCATAAGAGGTGTTCAGCAGAGGTTATGGGGAAGGGGTAGGGCAGGGGGCAAGAGGGCCACCTCAACAATACCCCCACCGCTGCTTTCCCACTGAAGCAGTAGGGGACACAAATCAAGACAAATTTAAGATGATCCTCCAATATCTAGAAAATTTGAAGAAAATTTATAATTGTTTAGTATATAGAATCTAATTATTGGGGGTATCTTAAATTCAAAGTAGTCTTGGATTCAGGTAAATATGGTAGTCATAAGGAGTCAGAGGCACTGGTTTCTATTCTCACTGTTGATGATTTACTATTACTTTCCAAAAGACAATTCAAACTACAGGCATCTGTTTCTTAATCTGTTAAAGGGGAGATCCTGCTTTCAGACAAACTGGAGCTGTGAAAAATCAGTATTGTAAAGGATATTGAGACTCTTGGATGACAGATCCTTGAAGTGCAAACTGCACTCCCTGGGAGATATGAGGACCATTACTGGCCATGGGGCCAACACACTACAAAGCACCCCATATCCTGGGAGGTTTTTTCATGCAATCACATTATAATTCATTCTTTCAATTATTTCTGATACCTCACAAATCACAGTAAGTGTCCTGTAGGTATTATGTAAAAAGTAGCAGTGATATGAGATATTACTGTACACAACACCATCTTCTACTAAAACTTGCTGAGTGGGAAGCAAATATCATGTGCAAATTATTCAGGATTATCAAAACTTCATTTATTGAACACAAAAGAGGGCATCCCAAAGACACTACAACTGCCAGGCAGAAAAAAAATGAATTTAGAACAGGTTGGACATGGCTTTGTTTGAACTCTTTTGCTTGGATCGCTTCATTGTGGTTTCAGAACCCAACTTCTTTAGGCTCCTAGAGACATTACTGTCTTTAGTGGTATTGCTCTCATTAGCTAGCTATACATTATGCTCACTTACTGTAATAGCACCAAAACAAATTTTTAAAGTCGCCATTTTTACCTGTATCTTTGTCCTTGGCTTTGTACACTTGCCCATATGTTCCTTCTCCAATAATCCCAATAATATCAAATTTATCCACGCAACGCTTGCCCCAGTCACTTTCAGTCTGTCTCCTCTCACCATAACGAGGACAACAAATTCTGAGAACGGGAAAATTGAAAGGTTTAGAATTTTAAAACTAAAAAGTGTTCATAACTGGGAAAGACCACAAAGTTTAAACTACCACAAGCATCTTCATTTTAAAATGCCAAACTACTGTACTCATAATTTTCAACCTGTTTTAAATGAGGCTTGTCAGTACTCTGAAAGATGGACTAGTTTTACTGTACTTCCATAACCAGTTCCAGTTAGAAATGGCTTTGTGAAATCTTACATCCATAGTATTTAGATTATACTACATAGTCCTACACCTCCCACACAGAGAAGCCATATGATGCCCACCACAACCAAACCTGAAGCCAGAATTTTAAACACCCACAGCACCAACCCCTGCAATTAAAGCAGACCTCTACAAACCGTAGAAGCCCAACAAGCGTTATCCTTAACTGTATTCATTCAGTGGCACCCTTTATTTCTCCCACGTACAGCAACAGACCTAAAAAGTAATTAAAGGTTATAACATATCAAATTCACACCCTACCAAGAGGTTTTCAATGCGATTCACCACTGTCTAGTTTGCCTGTAGCTCAAACTAATCAATTTATCCCTGCCTTAAGCATGGAGACAGCTCTCTGATAAAGATCTTGTCATGCTTTTCACCTGAGAGTGGTTTGAAAAGGAGCCAAACTCATCTTTCCTGTAACATAATTCTTTGATATTTTTAGCTGGTGAAAAGCATTTGGAGACTTCTATCTGGATGTAGGACACATGATCATTATTTTCTTACCTCCTCCTTGTGCAAGAAAAGGAAATATATGTGACACTAAGAAAGTTTATTTTCTTGATTAATTCATAATTCTCAGAAGGGAAATTAACGGACCATCACTTTTTACCAATGCCTCAGGTAAAGGCATGTTATCATTTCCTAGATAACAGTTTTCTAGACACTGAGTAGTGTGTATGTGGTTCCTTCCTACTGGGCTGCTTTGATCTCAAGACAAGAAGCCCTTTCCCAATTCAGATGAAGTGCTGTTTTCAAGGCAAAGGCTAAATAAAACGTTGAAAGGAATTCCCAAAACAGACAGGGTTTGAGTCAAACATGGCATGCGCCAGTGATTTTTTTTTTTTTTTTTAAACACACAATAAGGATCATGTAACAGGACAACAGGACCTGTCAAAGTGTTGTTGTCATGTCTGAATGACAGGCCCAATTTGGGGTGCGATGCACACATCCCACTTTGTGCCCCCTCTTGTTCTCCCTGATTTTAGTATCTCTGATTTGGTTCTTTTCATGTGCATGGGGGAAGTACTCTATTCTCCAGCATGTGACAACCAACTAGAGGTGCACCGATACAGTGGTCTGATATTGAATTAGCACCAATATAAAGAAAACTGACTGTAGCGAAATCCGTTTTTGCCTGATGTTGCTGATAATGTGGCAGATAGATGCCCTGTGCATATGCACAGCTGCAATGCAGGATGTAAGCGGTGAGAAGCACAGCCCAGCAGCTTGGAGAGCTACATTCAGCTGGTAAGTCTGTTGTGGTGGAAGGGGAGGGGGGAGGAAAGTGGTGTCAAGGTGGGGCAGATCAAGGCCCACGCAGTGAGGGAGGGAGTGGGGCTGGCATGGGATAGAGCTGTGGTTCAGCAGGGAGGGATGGGGAGGGAAAGAGAGCGGCTCCCACTGCACACACCATGGACGGACACATGCCTCCGGAACTGTGCAAGGCGGGGCGAGGATGGGCTCTCACTGTAGGCTGGGCTGCGCTCGGGACAGGTGGCAGTGGAGCTGGGAGGAGAGTTGGGGGGTTACAGTGAATTTTGAGGTGTCTGCAGCCCCTCCCATAATTCATTCCCAGTGCTGCCACCGCCCGCCCTGAGTGCAGCCCAGCCCAGCCCAGCCCCTTGCAGGAAGAGCCCAACGCAGCCCTGGCTCCAGCCCGCCCCACTCTGCACAAATCTGGGAGCATATCCCCTCCAGGGTGCACACAACAGCAGGAGCCGCCTTCCCCTTCCCCACGCCCCCTAGACGAGCTGTGGCTCCATCCCACGCCCTGTCCAGCCCCAGCTGGGTGATGTCTGCCCCTACCCCAGCTCCACTCCCTCCGTTACCACAGGGGCCTTGATCTGCCCCACCCATGCTCCTTCCTTTCCCCTTCCCCTTCCCCTTACACCACAGACTTACCAGCTGGACACTGCTCTTTAAGCTGCTGGGCTGCATATCGGAAATCAGATTGGTATCAGCCAATATGCCTCCTTAAAAATCAACTATCATTATTTGGCCCCAACAATCTCTTTTGGTGTAGCCCTACAACAAACACTCAACATTTAAAATGACCTTAAAATTTCAGTGGTGCGGACATGAAACAGGAGCACAAAGAGTAGATACAGGAAAGAGAAGCCAAGAACAATCTGGGTTTCACTTCCCATTGCAATTTTCTATGATTACAGTGGGCAAAATTCTGTTAGTCTTAAATCAAACGATTTCCAGTAAAACAGATCAGTCTGGAATGAAGTAACCTCGGCTGTAGAACATAACATTCTTCTGAAAGTTGCATACAACTAGGATCATGAACACTTATTCTCATCAAGAATCCCAGAGTACTTTATGCAGACATAGTAGCATTAACTGCAGTGTCATGCCCATATTCCAATCTGTGTAGCTGCATTATTGCTTTCTTAAATTACCCTCTGCAGAGCCATCAAAAGCATTACAAATGTTTAGGTTGCTGAAAACTATTAAAACAGTTGCCAGATTTAACTACAAAGGTGATTCCACTTTGGTGGTGGCTATAACAATTTCCACATACAATTTAGGATATACTGTAAACGACTTCAAGTTGTCTGAATGCAAGATGATATACAAATGCAAAACCGTCATCATCATAAGACAACAGTTTTGGGAAGGCAATCTGTTTGGAGAAAAATAAATAAATGAAGACCCTTACTTTGGTCTCTTTTTGAATGGTGGTTGAGGTGGTGTGGCTGC